AACTAGCAATCCTCAACAACTTTTTCAAGAATCAGCCGAACTAGCAATCCTCAACAACTTTTTAATTTTTACACGAGGAGTCAAAGGTCTGTTTCAGGAAATCACATCCTCAGCAAACGGCGGTTGTAGGATTAAGCTGTAAAAGGGTCCATACACCACTAGTTGGCAGTGTTGTGCATGTATTGCACATGAATTATTGCCAGCTAKGAAGTGTCAAATTGAACTTGCGCTTTAAAATTAGCTTCCGCTTGTTTTTCTATGGCATAAGCAGTTTTGAAGTTGAGAACCTAAATATTTTCATCAGCGCTTTAGAAATTGCGGAGCTAATTTATGGATTAGTGCTGCCCACCACTGGATTTAACATTTACACGGAAGAGTCGCTGCAGCTGTTTATTACCTAGCTGTATTATTTACACAATCTGAAGGATTGCTCTGAGTCATGGAAGCTTTACTACAAAGAGGAAGTTAGTGCTGACTTGTTTTTTCCACACAAGCATGTTTGCCACATCTAATATCAGACCTTGAACACAATAAAAACTCTCTGTCAGCACACAATAATGCTATTACTACTTATTTGGATGCCAATTTAGGCCCTGTTTACATGACAGGTTTTTTAAATGAAACAACAGCTTTTCTGCCAAGGTTCAGTGGTTCACATACATGACAAAGACCTGTCTAATACCAAATGTTTTTGAATCCTGGTCTCAGACTGGAGGTTTTTCAGGGTAACCCCCTGCAGAGATGTGAAATCAAACATGCACACACAGGCAGCTGCAGTCAAATTTTTTTTTTTTTTTTTTTTTTGCACTAACAGTTACAATAAATGACAAACAGCAGAGTTTTTTGTGTTGCTCACCCTTTTTATAGCATGTAGGAGCAAAATTAATAACATCCTTGGCCTGGAGTAATGTTATTTAATTCACTAGTTTGGGTGTAATTGTGATCATRCTGACACYGCATGCACAATGCATGCAACTGAGCCGGGCATCAGGGTGCCAGATAAAAATAAACATTTTTGACCCACTCCTTTTCTGTGCACGTCTTTACCAAACACATCTTACAAACCTTCACTCAGTACCTACCTTAGGTACCTCAGGTACCTACCTGACCCTAAAACTAACCTAAACTCAATTCACACCTTGGTCCTAAACCCAACCCCCCACCTGTACTTTGCATTCGTACCTGTGGAGGCCGGGCATTGGTCCCCACGATGCACGTTCGGCCCCCACAAGGCTGCTTTTTTTTGGGAAAATACGTCTTGTTCCCATTATGTAGGAAAAACATGTCCACACACATACACAAGCACACACATACACACACACACACACACACACACACACACACACACACACACACACACACACACACACA